CCAAAGTTGTGTGTGTGTGTGTTTTGGGGGGCGATCAATCAGTAACCCACAATTGACCAGGAACGGCCAGGGACACCCTGTAGTCGACCAGTGGATTGCGATCGACCGGTTAGACATGCCTGGTCTAGAGAATGCATCGCAGGGAGTTACATTAGATTACCCTCGGGATCCCTTCCAATTCTACAATTCTAGGAATTTATTGCATTCTCTGGCAATGACTGCATCTTGAGCCCTGCGGAGACATCTTGACAGGACTGGCCTGAGGGAGGAGGAGGAGGAGGAGTTTGGATTTGATATCCCGCTTTATCACTCCCCAAGGAGTCTCAAAGCGGCTAACAATCTCCTTTCCCTTCCTCATCCACAACAAACACTCTGTGAGGTGAGTGAGGCTGAGAGACTTCAGAGAAGTGTGACTAGCCCAAGGTCACCCAGCAGCTGCATGTGGAGGAGCGGAGACGTGAACCCGGTTCACCAGACTACGAGTCCACCGCTCTTAACCACTACACCACACTGGCTCTCTGGGAACTGTCAGAATGGGACTCTGGGGAGGAGCATAGCAGGCTAGTGGCTGTTGACTTGGACCCTAGGGAGGGGCTGAGCAGACTGCCAGGTCATCAGACACCTCAGTGGTGCCAGAGTTGCTTCCCACATCCTAAGAGCCCCATCCCATCTACAGAGAGATCTGGCCATGAGTTGGCATCGTTGACTCTACCTTTGTTAACAAGGGTGCAAGAGATGACTGCGACAGTAAGAACAGACTCAGAAAACCAAGCCTACTGGATGGGAGTGCCTGTTTGCTTGCCTAGTCCCTTGGCTTGGAGTGCCAACCATGTGGATGACTACGTCTTCCCTGTTTTTCAAGATGAGAGCCCAGGGGGCATGTCAAACATAGCTGAACCTTTGCCACAACCAGTGGCAGACTGTAACCTGAATTGTATGCCGTAGGAACCTACGCCTTAAAATCCTTTGGTAGAAAGCAAGCGAGGCCAAGCAACATGTCCACCAACGGGGGCCAGGACAGGCTCTGGTTTCTCTTTGTGAGTTAGGAAAGGGCACCATCGAAAGGGCATTAGTACAAACGGGTGGTGGTGCCCTTTCAGAGGCAGAAAGGACGAAGCCATTTCGCTTCTTTGCCCTGAATGCCTCTGAAAAATCGGGCCCATAAACTACATCTGCCAGGAGGTAGCCAGGTGAATCCCAGTTACTCAGACAAATCAGTTTGGGCTTCATTGATTCTGAGGGTCACATTTCCACAGAGAAGAAGTGCCCTTGAACAGTTGGTTGGATGTACAGTGGTACCTTGGGTTACATACGCTTCAGGTTACACACTCTGCTAACCCAGAAATAGTGCTTCAGGTTAAGAACTTTGCTTCAGGATAAGAACAGAAATTGGGCTCCAGTGGCGCAGTGGCAGCGGGAGGCCCCATTAGCTAAAGTGGTGCTTCAGGTTAAGAACAGTTTCAGGTTAAGAACGGACCTCTGGAACGAATTAAGTACTTAACCCGACTGTATCCGACAGAAGCGATCAGTGAAAGTCATCCTTTTGTTGCCCCATCAGGCCTAATTGTGTGCCCCTTTAACACCCCCACCCCACCCCCAGTGATCAGGGACTTGTACCTCTCTGTTATCCAGATTTTGTTCTTTTTTTTTTAATGTTGTGCTTGCTATCTAAAACAGATTGTGGACTTTGCTAGACAGCACTCTGTTTCTTGTAAATGATTAACACGAGGTAGCCCAGGACTACAGCTGTAAGCTGCCCAGGAATGAATGAGCGGAGCAGAGAGAGCAAACATCAGAAGATACTGGCTGCAGGATCTGGCCAATGGCCCATTTCCTCCAGCATCCTGTTCTCACAATAGCTGGCCACATGCTTGGTAGGAAGCACACGAGCAGGACCCAAGAACACTAGCACTCTTCCTGGGCACATTTATGTAAGCTTTACTTGGCTAGGGAGCAGAATTTAGAGACGTGTGGATTTCAGAGGGTAGCTGTGCTTTGGTTCATAGAATAATAGAGTTGGAAGAGACCTCAAGGGTCATCTAGTCCAACCCCCTTGCAATGCAGGAATCTCAGCTAAAGCATCCATGACAGATGACCACCCAACCTCTGCTTAAAAACCTCCAAGGAAGGAGAGTCCACCACCTTCTGAGGGAGTCGGTTCCGCTGTCCAACAGCTCTTGCTCTCAGAAAGTTCTTCCTGATGTTTAGTCAGAATCTCCTTTCTTGTAACTTGAAGCCATGGGTTCGAGTCCTACCATCCTGAGCAGGAAAAAAACCAAGCTTCCTCCATCTTCCATGTGAAAGCCCTTGAGATACTGGAAGGTGCCTAGCATATCTCCTCTTAGTCTCCTCTTCTCCAGGCTAAGGTCCGTGTGTTCTTTTGTGAACTTGGTATGTTTGCCTCTACATACGAACTGAATCTCATTTTCCCCTCACCCCTAATTTCCTCTTGAGGAATCCTCAACCATTGGCAGATCCAACACAGCAAGACGATGGCAGTGGGTGTTTTTTTTTCCAGTGCCTGTCAATCAGCATTCTAAGCCACCTTTAGCCAGATATTCACACATGTGTGAATCAGGGAGAAGTTTCACACCTTGTTTCTGTGTGTATTGCTGCCCCCCCCGCTTTCTCTGAGCACCCAAATTTCAAAACCCAGACGGTGTGGGGTTAATGTTTGTCTCACTGGCTTGTCTGGGTAAGTGGATGGGTGAAATGATTAGGGTGTTGGTGGAGTCCGGGCATGTTTGATCTCCATGGCAACTAAATCTTGAAAGTCGAATTGTGTCACAGCTGAGGGCTCTCGAGAAGCCCTCCTAAGAATGTGAGAGAAGTTGAATTTGGGTGAGAAACCACCTAAATTGCACTTCTTGAACCAATATGTGAAGCGAAACACAGCTATCCAATAGGCAAACCAGAACACTAACGGAAATGTGTGCAGTTAAACTACGGAACTCACTCCCACAAGAGGCAGTGATGGCTAACTTGGATGGCTTTAAAATTTGTTGCTCCACCCACTTTAGTCCCTGGCCCCACCCAATACTGGGATGTGGCCCTTGGAAGCTTGCCTAGATCAGAATACGGCCCTCAGGATGAAAAAGGTTTTCCCTACCCCTGATGAACTCAATACCAATGATCAATTCTCCCCCATTGCACCACAGTAATAATACTATGAATAATATTATAATATTATTATAATAACATGCACAATACTGCCCTGAGACCCCCGGTTATAGGGAAGTATATAAATTCAATAAATAATAATAACAATAAAATACACACCATAAAAAAGCTGATATGTGATTTTTAAAAATTTAATGCAGCATCACAATACAATATAAATCTATAAACACGTTGTCCTCTCAAACCAGCAATGTGTTCAATAAGATCACTATAGATTCGCCCGTCATGAGCAGGGGAGAAATGTTCCTTCTGGTTCTTCAAATGTCTGTGCTTTTACCTTGATCCTCAAAAGCAACATGGGCCAGAAGGTTGCAGCCCACGTTCCCGATTCTGTGTTTTAGCACCAAACAGGAAGTGTGGGAAGCATTTTGTTTGGCGCCGGGAGAGGGGGATGGAAGCAAGATGTGCTGTATAGTTTCTGTCCCTGGCAACATTCATTCCTGTACGTAGCCTGCAGCTCATTGTGTACAACAGCCCACCCTTCTCTGTAGCAGCAAAAATGAACAGGCTCTTGGGTTGTAGTGCAGCAGGGGTCTCTGCACAGGGATGCTGTGTGCTTTGAAGGAACTGCACCCAGCAAGTGACTGGTGCCCGCTGGAACCACTAGGGTGGAAGGCAGGAAGACCAACAGTAGGTGGCGCCAGAACCAGTGAAAGGCAGAGCCAAGTAGCTATGGTTTTGTCCTCATCCTCCACCTTGCTGAGTTTTACAAGCATCGGACTAAGGAGGACAGTGCTGATAGGCAGGGCCACTCCTTAGTCTTTGATTAAGGAGACAGGCAAATAAAGGGCTGGCTTGAGAGGTTGGCGAGGCAGTGCCCTAATGGAGTAGCCTCCACTGATTGCCTTAGACCAAGCCATTGGCTCTACTTGGCTAAGTGATTTCTGCACTGACCAAGTCCAATACATTTTGGCACCTGAGGCAGGCCCCCAAATGGTGCCCTTCCTCCTTGCCAGGGAAGAAGTGGTCAGGGAAGATCTACATCAGAGACAGGTTGTTGGGTGGGTAGGGGGAAAGATTGACATCAGGATCTGCTGCCCCAGTGGACCCTGCTGCCTGAGGCAGTTGCCTCACCTTGCCTCTTGTATGGGCCGGCCCAGGCACTGAGTGGTATAATCTCTCCTGATTTTCGGACAGCTGTCTTTTCCATCCCTACCTGACAACGTCAGAGATTGGATCCAGGACCCTGTTTGCGGCCTCTTTAACTTTGTTTGCACCATTGCTTCTCCAGTCAGATGCTAGTTCAGTGCCCCCCTCCTTGTTCGAAAAAGAACTAATATTTTCCTTCCTGTGTATTGTCACATGGGTGACCCACGCGGGATCACTTGGCTAATGTGATGACATTGCTGCACTGTAGCCAATCAGCTTTATTTACTTGATGATGTCACAAAGTCAACTGAGAGTGAGAGCAAGGCCACAGTGCTTTCTGGATCTTCATTGCTCTCATTCTGATTTTGTGAACTCAGTGTGCGTGGGTCATCGCTGCGAAAACTTTTTGGAACAAGGTGCCCCTCAACTTCCAAGTTTGCCGTGCCTGATCTCAGGCTATCCAGCCAGTTTCCGCTCATCTTCCAGCATGCACAGATGAAGTGATCTCTTTCCCATGCAGTGCAGCCGCCAGACAGTTCCAAATCAAGCCCCTTTCATTTTAATACTCTTAAAATGTTTCTAATCTCTAACAGCAATCAGTAAATTGCATCCAGTAAAGGTTGGGGGTTGGAAGCATTTATTCATTGCAGCTGCTGCAGTTACACTGACAATTGCAATACAAAACATGATCCTCCGAATAACCCATTTTCCCTAAGCAAGGGAAACAATTTGTTGTAGAGAAAAATGCGTCCCCAAACCACACACACAAACCCCGCCCTAGCAATTAATCATACCCACCTCACAGAAAGCTTTCGTTTCCACAACATCAAATCACAGAAGCGTCACCCTCTTCCCCTTTTATATGGATGTACAAAAACGCACATGGATTTGGAGAAAATCTTCTGCACAGCAATGTTAAAAAGCGCAAAGACGCATCTGTCTCCCGGTGGCAAATGGTCCTGTCACTTCGGCTTGTAGATCTTTCTCCTGGCAGCCCAAAGACAAGGAGAACCTGTCCCTCTTAAACTTCTGCACCTGCTTGCCTTGATGGAGTGCTTTTTCCAAACGACCGTAGTGAACATTGCAAAAACAAAAAACAGCAAAGCACAAAACAAAGCCACAAGAATGCTCTGAAGCGAGCCCTCAACTTCTCTTCTCCTTTCGGGGCAGAGCCGGGAGCTGACGCTGACGGCTTGTGAGCGCAGGCGTGACAGATTGGCAGAAAGCCGGCGGCCGCATGTGCAGCTGGGTATGGTTGAAAGCGATTTAATTGACTGGGGAATGCCACCTCTGCTCTTCTGGCTTGGCAGTTCGGCAACCCCCCTGCATGCAAGCGGAGCTCAGAAGAGGGGCTTGGCTAGCAAAAAGGAGCAGGCAGGCTCCAGGTGACTTGAAGGTCGTCCGAGTGGGAAGAAGTCACCTGATTCCGGGAACGGACTTACCTATCCGGCTGCAGTCACAGCAAAAGCAGAAAAGGAGAGGGGGGGGGGAGAATGAGCCTGTGTGCGAGAAAGGGAGGGAGGGAGGTGTGCACTTTTTAAAAGCAGGTCTCCTGCCAGCGGCTGGCGACATCGGCAGCACCACCTGCCTGCAGAAGTGTCACTTTAACTATGTCACAATCTCCTGGTAGGATGCACGCAAAACGAGCAGGGATCCGAGCAGCTGTTGTCCTCATAGGGTTGTTACACAAGTCCCGAAAGCAAAATAAAGAGAAAAGGTAATTCCTCTATGTGCTATCTCTTTTGTATGTTGTGTTTCCGTCTCTTTGAACACAGGGAGGGTGGGTGGGTGGGGGGAAGGAGAAGTGCAAGAAGCAGGAGCAAGCCTTTGGCATGGGAACAGCAGCGTTCCATCGAGGGCTCTGCCAAGCCGCTAAGCGCTCGCTTTGTGTGGCCATTGTTGGGATGTGTCAGCTTGTGGGCGATGATGAACGTTTGTGTCTTGGTTGCTCTGCTGATCGGAGGTGCGCACAGCTCTGGACGGGAGCAGGAGACCCGGTGGTGACAAAAGATGTACTTGAGGGAGACCCTGCGGAGGCAGGAAAGGAGTTCTCCCTTAATCTGCTGCCGAGAGTTGCAATGCCCAACTTGAGATGGAGTTTGGCAAGGTGTCTGTGGGACGTCATGCTGACGGAGAGCTGAAGGAGTCGTGTATGAGGCTCATCTCCTTGCCTGCAAAACTCAAAAGCTAGGACCGTTGCGGTGGTCGGATTGATTTTGATTTGCAAGAGTGATTGGAGGAACACCCTGCCACCCAACCCGGGGCGTGTGGGGCAGAACAGAAGCTGCTATGATGTTGCAGCTGCGCGGGCAATGCCCTGTGTTCAAAAGATGAGGAAATGTGAGTTTGTTAACCTTGTTGTGCTCCCCTGTTGGAGATCAACAGTCGATCAGTGACAATTCAGGATGTAGCAATCACTTCTTATTCCTCCCCATGGCGACGGGTGTTTTTGTTTGATTTCCCCTTCCCCCACCCTCTATTTTTGGGACTTAACAATGTTTGACTTGATTTCAGCCACTTTGATTTTTCAGGCGTGGTTTATCTCTTTTTAACTTTTCTCTCTGGCAAAGAAGACCGTCTGGATCTACGCAATACAATGTGTGTGAATAGATGGGAATTATTGTCGTGGTTTTTGTTGTTGTTGCTGTGGTTAGCTATTTCTATGGGGGGGGGGAGAGAGACTGAGAGACTGGTCTGGACCATTATAAAGTACATTAAAACAATTATCTCCTTGGCAGGATTCCAGCCGGAGACAAATAATTGAGTGGGATTTGAGTGGGAATTTAACAAAGCAAGGTTAAAATCAAAGCATGGAGACTCCTCAATGTTGCCTATTCTTCGTATAGCACTACCACTGTGCACAACATTTTGCAAAGTACAAGAGGGTAGGCCTCTGCCCCAAGAAGCTTACAATTTGAAATTCGACATGAGGAAAGCAAGGCAGGGAAGGGGGTGGGAGATGGAAATGGAGTCGGCCGTCAAAATGTTAAAGGGATATGCATGTATTTTAGCTAATGCACCCTTCACTTGGTTACAGGAAAGGGATGCAGATTAAGGTGTTGTGCCAAAGCCTTTGTGGAAGGAAGTGGGTGTTGATGTTGTTTCAGTGCGATGCCCCGACAAAGCAAACAGATTGCCTTAAGAACACAAATACCCCTCTGGCACCATTATGATTGGCACAGTGATTATGATGCCATCTGATCAAGCCAGATCTTCCCTTCAAAAGTCAAAGTAAAGTTTGTTAGAAGTGATCCTCTCCACTTTACTGCCAAGTAAGTCCTCAATGCATTGGGAGTCACTCTCAATTAAGTAGGTGTAAAATTATGCCCTCCTTGGTGAATCTCTCCATTTCGATTCTTGTCCGCTACTTATTTCTCCAGTTTTCTTCCATTCCCCACATTTCCACATCAGTTTGCAAACTTGTTTTGAAATGTCCTCATGAAAATTCACCAGCATTTTTTGTTCCTGTAATCATTCTTAAATATAGGCATCTTTGGATGAGTTTCCCCCCACATTTTTGCAAAGGTTTTTCCTTTAATATAATGCATTTTGAATGTTATTTTCTTTGGTTTATGCACCATGTATGCTAGTGTATGTATTTTTGTCCAAGTTATTTGGCTGGAGATCTACGTTGCAAAATTTGCAGAAGTATGAATTTCAAAGGATAGCTGTGCTTCAGTTCGCAGATTGTTTTGGAAATGCTAATTAGATAGGCCCACTTTTAAATGAAGATTGAATTGAATTCCTTCCCTCCATAGTCCTTACTGGGCTTCTTGGCCCATCCTGCAATGGTTTGCACAAAGTTCACTCTTCTATTGGAAGTTGTCCTAAGGAAACCTTTTGGTTGATTAGTTTGTTAGAAAAGGCTTATGCTCTCCCCTTCCCAAAGTATACGCCCTCCCTTAAGCACAGGATCAATTATCAGTTAAAGGGATCAATTTAGGAACGGAAAAAATAACCACTCATGATGGCTTGGTCCTTTATCTTGTTAGACAATCTGTAGCTCAGTAGTTGCTGCCACACTTTAGTTTCTGCAAAAGTTAGAACATTGAATGATGCCCAGGATAGTTACTTCCCATCAGGGCTGGAGGGAAATGTGATTCAGTTTGCATGTAAACAGGGACCTGCCAAATTCTGCACATTTCTGAAACAATACAAGGATCAAGACACAGACAACCTTTGAAATTCACACTCCTCTGAATTTTGCAGCACTACGTACAAAAACACATATAATATGCAAAAATGCATATACAAGTACTATGTACAGAAATGCATAGACATGGATAAAGGATGCAGGAAAATCCTTATGTTGGTGAAAACAACATACAAAAAATGTTTATATTAGGAAAACCTGCACACAAGCATTGTATATTAGTAGAAATTCATACTAAAATGCTGGTGAATTTTCACAAGAATTTTAAAAAAATAATATTTCGCAAGTGGATGCGGAAAAGTGAAGAGCTGAACTGAGCGTCAGACTGGAAAACTATGGAACTGTGAGAAACCAAAATTTATATGTTCAGCCTTTCTTGCCACCATCGTGTTCTGCTCCCCGAGAGAGAGCTGGTTAGAGTGGTTCAGTTAGGTTCAACAGTGGTTAGAGTATTCAACTAGGGACAGGGAGACCCAGGTTCAAATCCCCACTCAGTCACCACCAGGGAATGTCTTAGAAATTCCCTCCCTCAAGTTATCTGAACTAATAGGCATCAATAGGGTTATCCCCCATGTGCTTGTCTAATCCTTTTCAAAAGCCACGTAAGCTAGTGTTCAGCAGCACATCTTGTGACAATTAATGCCGTAAGTTAATTATGTCTCTTGTGTGAAGAAGGGCTTACTTTTGTTTGCCTGGAACTTAGGGACAACTAATAGAATTGGGTGACCATTTCTAAACGGACAGGAAGAACAGTTCTCTCTGCCTCTCTCTCTCTGTTTTCTTTTACAGTCTGCCCACTGGGATCCTGCAGCTTTTGACACCAGTATTTGACCAATGTACAATCAGCCAACACATATTTGGCTAAAAAAAATATGGGTGCAATTGGGGCCGAGAAACTCTAGAAGGTTGTTCCTGAAATCACTTTCCACTAAAATGCATTAGCTGCAGAGGACTAAGTGCATCTGCAGCAGCACTTTGTGCCCATTGTGTCTGGTAAGGTAAAAGGCAATAGTTGGAGTCCAAACAGCAGATGGAGCCAGAGCCAAGGAATCATTCTACCCCACCAGCCTCTGTCTGTCCTCAGCCAGGGTGTCCATTCTTGCCTTAATCAATCCAGGGGCTGTTGTTGCCTGTCAGCTTCCTCCTCAGTTGCTCTTGTAGAACTCAGCAGGGAGGAGGAGGAGGATGGGGACAACACTAGCATTGCTTGGCTCTGCCTGTTGCTGGCTCCGGCGCCCCCTACTGTTGACCTCCCTGCCTTCTGCCCTACTAGTCACAATGGCCACCGTGTGCGTAGGTGTCTGTAAGTAGAAGTGGCTTTGCAACTTGAAGCACTTGTGGAGAAATATAAAACAGCAAGATGGTTAAAGTTGTTGTACATTACACAGGCTGCTCAACGCCCACGTTGCTTGGGTCCTAAGCTCACACAGTTCCTGTTGCAGAGAGAGAGATATTATTATGTGGATTATGTGTTATGTGGATTAAAGGTGGGTACTAGGGAAGCAGGGAAGCGGGTGGCGCTGTGGGTTAAACCACAGAGCCTAGGACCTGCCGATCGGAAGGTCGGCGGTTCGAATCCCCGCGACGGGGTGAGCTCCCGTTGCTCGGTCCCTGCTCCTGCCAACCTAGCAGTTTGAAAGCACGTTAAAGTGCAAGTAGATAAATAGGTACCGCTCTGGCAGGAAGGTAAACGGTGTTTCCGTGCGTTGCTCTGGTTCGCCAGAAGCGGCTTAGTCATGCTGGTCACATGACCTGGAAGCTGTACGCCGGCTCCCTCGGCCAATAAAGCGAGATGAGCGCAGCAACCCCAGAGTCGACTGCGTCGGGACCTAACGGTCAGGGGCCCCTTTACCTTTACTAGGGAAGCAGGCAAAATGAAGCAGAGGCCTTAACACACCAAGAGGAAATGCTTGCCAATGTAAATGATGGGTTTGGGATCAAAGGTAGTGAGTTTAGGGAAATGAGAAAGTTAGAGGCAGGAATGAGGAGGAAGATTCTAATAATTGCCCATTCCAAATAAGGGGAATAAAGAGGAATGGCTTCCTGGGTTTTCCTGTGACCTCTGGGTCTGGGATAACTGGCAAAGGCCAGGCACAAATTCTTTGATGGGGAAAACTGCCCAGGTGTCTGAAAAGAAGGCACTTGTCTCTTGTTATCTATGAACATCCGAAAAAAGTTCTCCAGGCACAAGCGGTGATGTGGTAGCTGGAGGTGGCATTGCCTTCATCGGCTGGCCTTGAGCTAAGTCTACTCACAACCCTGGGTTACTTGAAACGCTCCTAATGTAGTTTCAGAAATAGAAAAAGGATTGCATGAAATGCTAGTTGAAAATAATGGGCATGACTTACTTGGGTCTATCATCCAATGGATCTACTCTGAGTAAAGCTTAGGTTGGCTACAGCCTATCATTATGATCATCATTGGACTAAACCTGTTGAAGTTAGTGAACCTAAGTCATGCCCATTAACATCAATGGGTGTAAGGCTAGCATTTAATACCATCCATTATTAATATCAGAACTAGGTTGTATTCAACTATGTCTTGCTCAGAGGAGACCCATTGAA